AAACCGGTATTGGAAATCCATCTGTTAGCGAGACCATCTCAGAAAAGGATGGCTATATGATTCATTCTCAATCCAGGAGACTGGACCGATGGGCAGAACACTTTAGGGATCATTTCAACTGGCCTCGAGCCACACTTCGGTTACCCACGATCTCCAGTCATCCTGAATGGCAAATCGATTTAAGTCCTCCTAATCTACACGATGTTGAAAAAGCTATGGGAAATGTGAAGCGATGTAGAGCAGCGTGTCCTGATAGATTGATTCCTGAGATTTTTAAGGATGGTGGTCCAGTTTTGACAGTCAGATTGATCTTAGGAAGAATCTGGTAACTAGGACTGATCCCATCCACCCCTAGTTATCTCAATTTATAGGAAAAGACAAAAGTCTTCTTGTGACAATCACAGAGGAACCAGTCCAACTAATATAGCATCGAAAATATTGGCGTCAATATTACTGGGACGCTTAACGAAAGTTAATGAGGAGCAGACTAGAGAAAACCAGTCTGGTTTTCGACCTGAACGTGGCTGTATAGACCACATTTTCATTCTACGACAGGTTCTGGAACACAAATACTCCTTTAGTCGTCCGAAAGAAGTTGTCCTCCTGGACCTTAAGGCGGCATTCGACTCTGTTGATCGTGAGGTTCTGTGGCAGTGTCTGTCATTAAAAGGTTTGCCAGAGAAGTGCATTAACCTTATAAAAGCTCTCTACTCTATCACGACAGGTCAAGTTAGAGCTAATGGCGAAATTTCATCGGAATTCTTTACTTTAAGTGGTGTTCGTCAGGGATGTCCACTCTCTCCATTCCTGTTTAAATTTATCGTGCACATGCTTCTAGAAGCAACTTTATCTTCGTCTATCTTTTCAGGAGTGGACATTCTACCAGGAGACACGCTTATTGACTTAGGATATGCTGAGAGAAGATATGATTCGAGAAGTATAATTCAGTGAGATAAATGTAAAAGGAGGAAGATGGAGATTATGAGGAATTCAGGCGGTCAGAATTTAGGAGAATACAAAGAGTGAATGCACGTGCGCCATTGCAAACGATTTTGAGCCATGTCGTTCAGCGTCTCTAACCATCGGTGACTTTCATCTAGCAGACCCCAACCAGGTAGTTTACATATACCAACATGACTCAGTCCATTCGTCAGTGGTTTCATGGATTTCTGCCACGTTTTGTTCTAGCCGCGCCTAGCTTTCTGCCAACTTACTCCTAGATTACAAAACATAACTCATCGAGTCAGTCGGTGGTTGGGCATTCGTCACACATTTTTCAACCACGTCAAGTGATGAAGTTTCAAAACTTCATCTTTGATTTGCCAAACCTACCTAGAACTCGTTTCCGAACGATAGCATTGCTTACTCGGTTGTCCCAGGATATACGAGCAATGCTTTGGAGACCGATGATCGAAGACAAGCAATCTATGAATGTCCTCTACTCTCACCAGCCATGTTTCGCATCCATATAGGAGAACGATGCGAACTACTTCGCAGTACACTCGCCTTTGGTTAGCAAAAGCCAATCGAGCTTTCTGTATCCGTGCTGAGATTTCGTCAGTCCTCAGGCTATCAGCACTGTTGAGACTCCTCAAATGCGTGAAGCGGTCTGTACGTTCGACTACTTCACTCCCTATCACTATTTCAGGTACTGATGAAACCCAATCATGAAGCAACATTTTGCATTTCGAGAGTGAGAACCACATCCCGAACATACTTGCATTGTTGCTTAGAGTAATCAGAAGACTGCATTTCGTTAGCGTCTTCACTAAATAGAACTATGTCATCGCATATTTTCGAACCCTAATATCCATAACCGTTAATACTTCTACTATCTCTAGCACTACGGGATTTTAACTTACAACTACGTCTCTGTAACAATGTGCTGTGGCGACCTGAACTTATGCACATACGTACGAGGTTCTACGTTGTAACTGACTGATTGACATACTTAGTATGTAGCTTACGAATTCTGTTTAACGTGCTGTAAATGTTTATACTTTTAGTAAGTTATAGGAACTCATGTTTTTCTTTTGTTTTTAGGATTTAGAAACTCACTTTCTTCCTCTTATCAAGCGTTTGGCAACAGGTGACTGGTTTACTAGTCGCACTTCTGCTTGTGGGCTGTTCAGTGTGGTTTATCGACAAACTTCTCCCGCTGTCCGTGCAGAACTCCGTCGCGCTTTTAAGCAGCTTTGCACTGATGACACTCCTATGGTTAGACGTGCAGCTGCTAACCGACTTGGGGAGCTGGCCCGTTGTATGGAACTAGATGCATTACGTTCAGACTTATTGCCGTTATTGCCTCCTCTTTCTCAAGTAAGCTCGTCATATCACAAACTATACAAATGCTTAAAATTCGAGTTTGTCCACTGTTCTCCATCCTAACTGCTTTCTGTTTTAGCAGGATGATCAGGACTCTGTACGATTACTGGGCGTAAATGCATCAGTGGATTTTGCTGAAGTTCTTCCTACTGAAGATGTGTTGACGCACATTATTCCTCTTATACGAGGAGCTGCAGAAGACAAATCTTGGCGCGTTCGTTATCAATTAGCTGATCATATTACTGATTTACAGTCTGCAGTAAAACCCCAACTTGCCGGACAGCACTTGGTAGATGTTTATCAGGTTAGCTTTCTCCATTGGTTTGTCATAACTTTCATACCTTGGTTGTTATCTTATTTCCAAGAACATAAATACAGTTAAGTTTAAACTGTATCGTCTGTTTTAAATGATAACGTTTGTTCATTATCATAAACTCATTAATGAACAGGTAATTATGTTATATCAGTCAGTCAGTTACAACGTAGAACCTCGTACGTATGTACATAAGTTCAGGTCGCCACACGGCATTATTACAGAGACGCAGTTGTAAGTTCGAATCCGGTAGTGGTAGAGATAGTAGAAGTATTAACGGTTATGGATGTGATTCAGAAAGCATAATTCAGTGAAATAAACATAAAAAAAGAGATAAACGTGGTGAAGAATCTAGGGGATTAGGATTTAAGAGAACACAAAGAATGAATGTACCTGCGCCATTGCAAACGATTTTGAGCTATGTCCTTCAAGGTCTCTAACCATTGGTGACTTTCATCTCGCGGACCCGAACCAGGCAGCCTATATCTGTCAACATGACTCAGCCCACTTGTCAGTGACGTCATGGATTTCTGCCATGGTTTGGTTTGGCCGCCCCTAGCTTTCTTCCAATCTAATCCAACACCACAAAACATAGCTCGTCGCGGCAGCCGGTGGTTAGCCATACGTAACACATGTCCTAACCACCTCAACTGATGAAGTTTCACCACTTCATCTATTGATCTGCCATCCTTGCCTAGTACCCGTTTCCTAACAACTGCATTACTTACTCACTTGTCGCATGATACACGAGCAATGCCTCGGAGACACCTATGATCGAATATTAATAACCTACTAATGTCTTCTACTCATAATGACCACGTTTCGCAGCCGTATAGTAAGACAGAGCGAACTGCTGCACTGCACACCTGTCCTTTAGTCAGCAAACGGATATCTCGCCTACGAAATAAATGACGCAGGTTGGCAAAAGCCAGTCGAGCCTTCTGTATCCGTGCTGAGATTTCGTCAGTTACCAGGCCATTAGCGCTGATGAGACTCCCAAGATAAGTGAAGCGGTCTACACGTTCGACTTCTTGCTCCCTATCACTAGTTCAGGTGCCGATGAAACCCAATCTTGAAGCAACATTTTGCATTTCGAGGGGAAAACCGCATCCCGAACATGCTTGCATTGTTGCTTAGGGTGGTCAGAAGACTACATTTCGACAGCGTCTTCAAAGAATAGAACTATGTTATCAGCATATTCCAAGTAAACTCCTAAGGTAATTTAATTCTAGGAGAAAACAAAGACTGAATGCACTTGCGTCATTGGGAATGATTCTGATCTATCTTCAACATTGGTTACGATAATCAAGCGGCTCACTCTAACTGCCATTGTTTTGTTATGGTTGCCTCCAAATTTCTCCCGACCTCATACACCAGCAAGCATTGCATGTCGTGGATAGATGTGTATAATACGTATCCCATTCATTTCAATAGATAAGATTCACTACATCAATCGGCCACAATGGGGCGAATAGATTTATTTTTTGTGTTATCATAAATCTTGATTATCACTGTTGTTTCATACTTCTATCCCCTAACCTCATCCATTTTGCGAACCCTGCTCGACGTTGTTTAGTCTCGCACACTATCATTGATGTGTCGAATTTGTGACTAAGGTTCATACTTTTACAATTAACTTTCTGAGTTCATTTATATGGTTTTAATAACTCAGTCGTGGAGTGCAGTTATGTCTTCTTAAATGACCAGACTACCTATTCTTACGGTAAAGTAAACTGTTTTAAATCGAAGTTTATAGAAAAATCTGAGGTACTCATTTGAATAGCATTGTAAAAATAAATAAGATTTTATTGTGTTTAGACACTTCAAAATGGACGGTAGTAATAAATTTTTCTTATTAACAAAACATTTGGTTTAGTTTGAAAATTTGTTTCCTTTGAAAATGTTAAATCAAAGTGGATTTACTTGCTGGTTTTCGTGTTGTTTTTGTTTTGTTAGTCTGAATTCGCACTTTCCCTTTCCAGATTTCCTCACAGATAATACTTTTCATTTTTGCAGCGATTTAAGACTACTTTTTACTGGCCAGTCACTGTTTTATTACGCTAAATTGTTTCTTATTTTTAAGGTCATTGTCCACATATTTATAAAAATGTTTTTGAAATGTTTCATATTAAATGCTTGGTATTTGTTAAGTATTTTCTAGATAAAAAGGAACATTGTAGCCCTAATCTGTTTCTCTTCTAATACGACAACATAAAATAAATTTAAAGATATTGTTTATTGTTCCACAAGTCGTAATTTGCTAAGCTTTTTGTGTCAAAAACGTCATAGTTAATCTAATAAAGGCGTGGTATTTAGCCTAACAAAAGATGTGGTATATTACTTGTTGTCTTAACCAAAGAATCAATCTTTTATTAAATGAGATATGCGATGAGCTGAAACCAAAGGAACGTATGCTACTAGAGTTTTTCTTGGCGAAATATAAGTTATACCTCATATTCTCCTTTGTGTGTAGAATCAACGTTTATTTTGATCAACGTTAATTAACAAATATGTAGACATCTATATATTTATCAATCCATATTCAGTAACATCCAATGTACCATTTTTCGTTTTGTTTTCATGTCTATCGTGGCACTGAAATGTAAATAATGGTCATAAGTCAGTAGTCGTTTACTGATTATGGTGTTAAACTAACCATCGATTAGTTCACTTGTCTGTACACACGTGTACATCTGTTCCTATTAGGATTTCAATCAAGTCGTTAAAATAGTAAAATAACGTGTCTGCTTAACTCATGGTCATCCTTACTCTGTCTACCCTTTGCTTCATTTTCCCGTTATACGGTTTAGTTAATTCGCTGAAGTCGTCCATACATTGCAACAAATTTTTTTATCTCTATCCTGAACCCCAGTATCCGTTCATGCATACTTTTCTACTCTGTCCTCTTCAACAATATTCCTAATGTTTAGACCTTTTTGTCATTACTGCTATATTATTTCGTTCTCGTTATGTTCATTTTGTCGTGTTAATCAGGTATAGCGGGTATGATAATTTGAACCAACGCAGATCTGTGCCATGTTCCATGTTGATGATGTATGTATGTAATGATAGTGTCTTTCGTTGTAATGTGAGTGTTCGTCCATCACTCAGTGACGGCGATAGCTCGCGTTACCACTCCATAGTTTTAAGCCAGATTCTTTTTTTGAGCCAGTCAATCTTACTTACTTACTTACGCCTGTTACCCCCAATAGAGCATAGGCCGCCCACCAATTTTCTCCATCCAAATCTGTCCTGGGCTTCCCTCTCCACTTCTATCCAATGTTTGTTCATTCCTCTCATATCTTTCTCTATTTCTCGGCTTAATGTGTTTCTTGGCCTTCCTCTTTTCCTTTTGTCTTGAGGGTTCCATGTAAGGGCTTGTCTCGTGACGCAGTTAGGTGCTTTTCATAGTGTGTGTCCTATCCACTTCCACCGCTTCTTCCTGATTTCCTCATCCACTGGAATCTGGTTTGTTCTCTCCCACAGTACGTTGTTGCTGATGGTGTCTGGCCAACGAATCCGAAGTATTTTGCGTAGACAACTGTTAACAAACACTTGTATCTTCTGGATGATGCCTTTCGTAGTTCTTCAAGTTTCCGCTCCATAAGTAGAACTGTCTTGACGTTTGTATTGAAAATCCTGATTTTGATTTTGGTTGAAAGTTGTTTGGAGTTCCAGATATTTTTCAATTCTAGAAATACAGCCCTTGCTTTGCCAATCCGTGCCCTCACATCTTCTGATCCACCTTGGTTGTCGATGATGCTGCCCAGATATGTAAAGGTGTTAACGTCCTCCAAGGCATCTCCATCAAAGTGATTTGGTCGGTGCTTGTTGTGTTGCATCGGAGAGCTTTGCTTTTTCCTTTATGTATGTTGAGACCTTCTGCTGCAGAGGCTGGTGCTACACTGGTCGACTTCTCTTGCATTTGTTGTTGCGTGTGCGATAGAAGAGCCAGGTGATCTGCGAAGTCCAGATCGTCCAGCTGCGTCCTAGCTGTCCATTGGATACCGTGCTTCCCTTCAGATGTCGACGTCTTCATAATCCAGTCGATCATCAGGAGAAAGAGAAAGGGTAAGAGTAAGCAACCTTACCTGACACCGGTCTTCACCTCGAAAGAGTCTGTTAGCTGCCCTCGGTGCACGATTTTGCAGTTGAATCCATCATAAGAATTCCGTATGATGTTAACTATTTTCTCAGGCACACCATAGTGTAGAAGAAACCTCCACAATGTTTTCCTATCCACGCTATCGAATGCTTTCTCGTAGTTGATGTAGAGTGGTGAGTTCTGTTCTATTGATTGCTCCACAATGATCCATAATGTTGTAATTTGGTCAGTACACGATCGATCCTTACGAAATCCAGCCTGTTGATCTCGAAGTTGGGCTTCTACGAAGTCCTTCATTCTGTTTAACAATACCCTGTTTAAGACTTTACCTGGTATTGTCAGTCAGTCAGTCAGTCAGATGCAACGTAGAACTTTGTACATAAGTACATCAGTTCATGTTGCCATACCACATCAGCACAGAGATTACCTGGTATTGAGAGAAGAATGACGCCTCTGTAGTTCTCACACTTGCTGAGATCGCCTTTCTTTGGTATTTTGATCAGGTATCCTTCTTTCCAGTCTGATGGTACTTGTTCCTCATCCCAAATCTTCTTGAAGAGGTTGTGAAATGTTTTCGCAGTTGCTCCTACATTTGCTTTCATTGCCTCTGCTGGAATGTTTTCTGGTCCTGCTACTTTGCCGCTCTTGATTTGTCTGATGGCCATACTGATCTCCTCAATCGTAGGTGCGCCAATATTAATTGGGAGGTCCGTAAAGCTGCTTCGATTTTGGGTGTGTTCAGTGGAGCTGGTCGATTCAGGAGTTCCTTGAAGTGCTCTACCTACCTATTTCGCTGTTCTTCAGTGTTGCTGATTACTTTCCCTTCCTTGCTTTTCACTGGTCGTTCTGATTTACGATAGTTTCCGGCGAGCTTCTTTGTTGTTTCGTACAAGTTTCCGTCTCTTGCATCCTTTTCCGCCGTCGTCGCTAGATCTTCCACATGATTTTGTTTGTCAGCTCTGGTGCTCTTCTTCACTTGCCTGTCTGCTTCTGTGTATGCAGCTTGTGCCTTAACTTTCTCTGCTCTTGTTCGGCTGACGTTGATTGCGTCCTTTTTGTTCCTTCTTTCTTCAATTTTTTCAAGAGTACCAACAGAGATCCATTCCTTGTGATGGTACTCCCTGCGACCCAGAACTTCGTGACATGTTGAAGTGATTGCCTCCTTAATCCCTTTCCAATCGTTCTCCAATGTTGCTTCCTCTCCACTCAGTTTATCGTTCAAGGCCTGGAACCTATTGGAGAGGGCTATCGTGAATTCGTTGAGTTTTACGGTATCCCGAAGAAAGGCTGTATTAAACTTGTGTGATGTTGTCTGCCTCGTTATCCAGTGTTTTTTGAGTTTCAGTTTCATTTTGGCGACCAGCAAGTGGTGATCTGAAGCTATGTCAGCTACTCTCTTGGTTCTCACATCCTCCATGGTCCTTCTGAACGTTTTGTTGCTACAGATATGGTCAATTTGGTTTTGAGTAGTGTGGTCCGGTGAAATCCATGTGGCTTTGTGAATGCGTTTGTGCGGGAATATTGTGCCAGTGTCCATGTCGTCCCATGATGTCTTCATATCCAGTGTTGTCCATTCCAACCTTGGCATTCAGGTCTCCCATAAGAATCGTCAAATCCTTTGGTGAACATTTCTCGACGATTGACTGTAGCCTTTCGTAGAATCGATCTTTAACGTCGTCATTGTAGTCGTTGGTAGGTGCATAACATTGGATGACGTTCATTGTAATGTCCGTTTTCTTTGTTTCGAAAGATGCTTTAATGATCCTAGGTCAATTAGATTCCCATCCTATCAGTGCCTTTTGTTCATGTTTGGACAGCATCAGTGCAACTCCTTGTGTATGTGAAGCATTTTCCTCTTCATGATCAGAGTATAACAGCAGTTCCCCTGAAGCTAGTCTCAGTTGTCCTACGTGTGTCCAATGCGTTTCACTGATGCCGAGCACCTCGAGGTTGTATCTTTTCATTTCTGCTGCAACTTGAAATGCTCTTCCAGTCTCCCACAATGTACGAACGTTCCATGGGACTCGGCTTTCATCACACGACGTCATAATTCTTCTTCCAACTCCCAGGGCATAGTAAAAATGGTTTGAATTATTTTTTCTGGTTAGCGTTTTTTTGGCAAGTTAGTTTTTAGTTGAGATGGGGGCGCCAACCCCATGTCCAACCCTCCTTTTTTATCCTTGCTTGGGACCGGCAGTAGCCCTTAAGGTTCTACTGGCGGAGTTGAGTCAGTCAATCACATCTCATTAAATATGATTCGCGTAATGTTTCCTGTCAGTCATGTATAGATTTGCTTACTTGGCTTTAAGCCACACTTTTTTTGTAAATCAGTAATACTACTCTCCTGAAAGCCGACGTTGGTGAGTTGTGGTTCAAAACTTCAACCTGGTTATTGAAATTCAAGCGTTGTAATCGCTAAGTCAATGACCGGTTCGCTAATGGGCATACTGACTCCCTTAGACACTTTTAGGCGAATAAATGCTTTGCCGAAAATTGCATTTTTGATGCGTAAAATATTCTGTTTCAACTCTAGATTCTTCTTAAAGATCCAGAGGGAGAAGTTCGTGCAGCGGCTGCAGGCAAACTAAAAAAGTTCGCTTCATCTCTAGCTCCTGATATTCGGGAATCTGTGATTATGAAAACCTTGTTACCTATTATTCGGGAAATGGTTGGTGAAACTAATCTGCAGGTAAAAACAGCGCTAGCAGGTGTTATGATGGCTTTGGCTCCACTGCTCGGCAAAGAGAATACATTAGAGCATCTTCTTCCATTGCTGTTGATTCAATTAAAGGACGAAAATCCAGATGTAAGTTCGGATTCATAGTTTGCTTTTATTTTTGATTAGCGGTGATTAGTGAAACATACTTTATATCCTCATCATATTAATTTTCACATGAGTTTACTGTTCGTTCTTCATCCGTAAACGTACTTAATTATTGTACAGTTAAACTACCTAGACAAAAGTTTCATTGCTAGCCGATAATCAATAAGGATAAGATTAAGAAACATTTGGAGATTAAAATCTATATCACAAGAAATTTGTTTAGTAGGTAATAAAAATAATTCGTATGCGTCCAAATATAGATCATACGATTGTCAGTCAGTCAGTTGCAACGTAGAAGTACGTACGCCATACCACATTAGCACAAAGACGCAGATGTCGAATCAAATCCCATAGTGATAAAGATAGAAGAGGTATTACTGGTAATGAAGAAGACTAGGATTCGAAGATATTATTCAAGAAGTATAATTAAGTGAAATAAGGTTAGAAAGACAAATGTAGAGATGCTGACGAATCCAGAAGATTAGGATTTAAGAGAGCTCAAAGAATGGATGCACTTGCGCCATTGCAAACGATTTTGAGCCATGTCGTTCAAGGTCTCTAACCATCGGTGACTTTCATCTAGCAGACCCCAACCAGGTAGTTTACATCTACCAACATGACTCAGTCCATTCGTCAGTGGTTTCATGGATTTCTGCCACGTTTTGTTCTAGCCGCGCCTAGCTTTCTGCCAACTTACTCCTAGATTACAAAACATAACTCATCGAGTCAGTCGGTGGTTGGGCATTCGTCACACATTTTTCAACCACGTCAAGTGATGAAGTTTCAAAACTTCATCTTTGATTTGCCAAACCTACCTAGAACTCGTTTCCGAACGATAGCATTGCTTACTCGGTTGTCCCAGGATATACGAGCAATGCTTTGGAGACCGATGATCGAAGACAAGCAATCTATGAATGTCCTCTACTCTCACCAGCCATGTTTCGCATCCATATAGGAGAACGGAGCGAACTGCTGCGCAGTACACCCGTGCTTTGGTTAGTGAACGGATATCACGCCTACGCCATAGGTGACGCAGGTTGGCAAAAGCCAACCGAGCTTTCTGTATTCGTGCTGAGATTTCGTCAGTCACCAGGCCATTAGAGCTGATGAGACCTCCCCAGATAAGTGAAGTGATCAACACGCTCGACTACTTCACTCCCTATTACTAGTTCAGGTGACGATGCAACCCAATCTTGCAGCAACATTTTGCATTTCGTGGCTGAGAACCGCATCCCGAACATGCTTGCATTGTTGCCTGGGGTAGTCACAAGACTCTGCATTTTGTCAGCGTCTACACCGAACAGGACTATGTCTTCGGCATATTCTAGATCAGTAAGCGATTTTCCTGGTAGAAGGTCAACCCCTGTGAAATCTGATGAGCTTAATGCTAACTCTAAGAGGATGTCTACGACAAAGTTCAACAAGAATGGAGTGAGTGGACAGCCCTGACGGACACCACTTGATCCAGAGAATTCAGATGACAGTTCGCTATATGATCTCACCCTACCAGTGGTGTTCGAGTGGAGAGCTTGTATAAGGTTAATGTGCTTCTCTGGTACACCTTTCAATGACAGGTGCTGCCACAGAACCTCACGCCTTAATGTCCAGGAACACAACTATTGTAGGATGCCTAATTGTGTGTCTGTGTTCCATGACTGCTCGTAATGTGAAAATGTGGTCTATACAGCCACGTCCGGGTCTGAAACCAACCTGGTTTTCTCGAGTCTTCTCTTCACGAGCTCTACTTAGGTGTCGAAGTATTATCGAGGCTAACAATTTAGAAACTATATTAGTTAGACTTGTTCCCCTGTGATTGTCACAAGAGGACCTTTGTCCTTTCTTATAGATTGGGACAATTAGCGACTGAGACCAGTCAGATGGGATTACGTCCAGTTCCCAGATCCTTGCTGGGATCTCGGTCAGTCTAACTGTTAAAACTGGATCACCATCCTTAAACATCTCAGGGGTAAGCCTATCAGGATCTGCTACTCTACTTCGCTTTAGATTTCCTATAGCTTTCACAACTTCATGTAGACTATGAGGACTTAAATTGATTTGCTATTCCGGATGACTGGGGATTGTGGGCAACCGAAGTGTGGCTCGAGGCCAGTTGGTCTGATCCCTAAAGTGTTCTGCCCATCGATCCAGTCTCCTGGATTGAGAATGGATAATAAGACCATCCTTTTCCGAGATAGTCTCACTCACACTCGGGTTCCTAATACCGGTTTCTTTGATAAGGCGGAAAAGTCTAGTGCTGCCGCTGCATTTTCCATCGCTTCTGCTTTCGCCACCCACCACTGTTCAAGGTCGTTGCCTAAGCTTTTTATAAGTCTGCGCCTAAGCTGACTACGCTCCTCATCATGTTCAGAGTCGGGTGGGATGCGTTTTCGAGCAGCCATCAGTTCGGTAGATGCGACTGAAATCCACGACTTCATCCTAGCCTTATGGTTTTCCTTACTAGCGGATATTACTGCTGTTTCCACAGCCTTCTTGATATCATTCCAACCTGAATCCGAATGGGAATCGCTTAAATGGTCGCCTAACTGTTTTTCTAGTTCCTTCTGAAATATTTTCTTAGCTTGATTATCATCAAGAGTCTTCCTTACGATGTGCCCCAGAACGAGCGACAGTCCTCTATCGAACCCCTCCATCGGTGGCTGATGGCGATGTGATCTAGTTGCGTCCAACGTTGAGACGACTTCGGGGGTCGCCAGGTCAACAGATGTTTTTCCTTATGCTTAAAATGAGTGTTTGCTAGAAATAGTTGGTTATCTGAGCAGAGTTGCAACAGACGGTCGCCATTGTCTGTTCTTTGAGCTGAGACACCATAACATCCTCCCAGGTGTCTTTCATTTTCGCTTAGTCTAC